GGCCGGCAGGAAGGAGGGAGGCCGGGCGGGCGGGAGGGAGGCCGGCGGGCGGGAGGCAGGTGGGCGGGAGGGAGGCCGGCGGGCGGGAGGCCGTACCACTGGGTGAGGCGGGACAGGAAGGCGGCGTCCGCGTCCGCGGCCGGCACGCAGGCGAAGCGCTCGGGCACCAGGGAGAGGCCGAGGGCCAGCAGGTGAGGCTGGCTGCACACCCGGCTGCGGTGGAGGCCGTTGGCCAGCAGGCAGAGCAGGTGCACCTGGGGGGGAGGGAGGCCGGGGAGGGAGGCTCGCTCGAGGTCAGGAGTCCGAGGCCGGCCTGAGCAAGAGCGAGGCCCCGTCTCTAGCAAAAAATAGAAAGAAACGGACCAGACAACCGAAAACATGTATGTGCATAAACGAGCCGGGCGCGGAGGCTCACGCCTGGAGTCCCGGCTACTCGGGAGGCCGGGGAGGGAGGCTCGCTCGAGGCCAGGAGTCCGAGGCCGGCCTGAGCAAGAGCGAGACCCCGACTCTACTAAAAAAAAAAAAGTAGGAAGGAATTAATTGGCCAACTGGAAGAATATATAGATAAAAATCAGCCGGGTGCGGAGGCCCACGCCTGTAATCAGTGCTCGAGCTCGGGGAGGCCGGGGAGGGAGGCTCACTCGAGGCCAGGAGTCGGAGGCCGGCCTGAGCAAGAGCGAGGCCCCCGTCTCTACTAGAAATAGAAATTAATTGGACAATTAAAAACATTCAGAAAAACATAGAAAAAAAAAAAGCCGGGCACGGTGGAGGCTCAGGCCTGTCATCCCAGAACTCTGGGAGGAGGCCGAGGTGGGAGGCCCAGCTCGAGGCCAGGAGTCGGAGGCCGGCCTGAGCAAGAGCAAGGCCCCGTCTCTACTAAAAAAATTACAAAGAAATTAATTGGCCAAGTAAAAATATACAGACACAAAAATTGAGCCGGGCGCGGAGGCTCACGCCTGAAGTCCCAGCTACTCGGGAGGCCGAGGCGGGAGGCTCGCTCGAGGTCAGGAGTCGGAGGCCGGCCTGAGCAAGAGCGAGGCCCCGTCTCTACTAAAAAAAATAGAAACGGATTAGCTGGACGACTAAAAATACACGGAAAACACGAGCCGGGCGTGGAGGCGCGCGCCTGTCGTCCCGGCTCCTCGGGAGGAGGCCGAGGCGGGAGGCTCGCCGGAGGCCGGGACTCGAGGCTGCTGAGGGCGAGGCCGAGCCCCACCTTGTGCGTGTCCTCGCGGACGTCCCTCTGGATCCGCTGCACGGCCCTGCGCAGGTGGCCCTCCAGCTCCCGCCGCGTCTTCTCCCTGCGGGCGGCCGGCTCAGACCGGGGGGCGGGGACCCGGGACCCCAAAACCCGGACCCCAGGGAGGGACCCGGGACCCCAAAACCCGGACCCCAGGGAGGGACCCGGGACCCCAAAACCCGGACCCCAGGGAGAGATGCGGGACCCCAAAACCCGGACCCCAGGGAGGGACGCGGGACCCTAAACCCCAGACCCCAGACCCTAAACTCCGGGAGGGACGGGGACCCCAAAACCTGGACCCCAGGGAGGGACGCGGGACCCCAAAACCCGGACCCCAGGGAGGGAACCGGGACCCCAAAACCCGGACCCCAGGGAGGGACGCGGGACCCCAAAACCCGGACCCCAGGGAGGGACGCGGGACGCCAAAACCCGGACCCCAGGGAGGGACGCGGGACCCCAAAACCCGGACCCCAGGGAGGGAACCGGGACCCCAAAACCCGGACCCCAGGGAGGGACGCGGGACGCCAAAACCCGGACCCCAGGGAGGGACGCGGGACCCTAAACCCCAGACCCTAAACTCCGGGAGGGACGGGGACGCCAAACCCCAGACCCCAACTCCCAGGAGGGACGGGGACCGGGGACCCCAGACCCCAAACCTCACACCCCAGACCCCAGACCCCAGACCCCAGACCCCAGACCCCAGACC